CTCCCTGATATTGTCTATGTGTTCTTGAGGTTTAGTGTGTTGTCCCTGGTCCTCCCTGATATTGTCTCGTGTCTCTGAGGTTAGTGTTGTCCATGGTCCTCCCTGATATTGTCTCTGTGTCTCTAAGGTTTAGTGTTGTCCCCTGGTCCTCCTGTGATATTGTCTCGGTGTCTCTGAGGTTTATGTTGTCCCTGGTCCTCCCATGATGATTGTTCTGTGTCTCTGAGGTAGGACTGTCCCTGGTCCTCCCTGATATTGTCTATGTGTAGCTGGGTGTAGTGTTGCCCTGGTCCTCCTGCTATGGTCTCTGTCTCTGATGTTTGTGTTGTCCCTGGACCTCCCTGAATATTGTCCTGTGTTATGAGGTTTAGTTTGTCCTGGTCCTCCCTGATATTTGTCTCTGTGTTCTCTGAGTTTACTGTTGTCCCTGGTCTCCCCCGGACTGATATTACATTTACATTAATTTTAGTCATTTAGCAGACCTGTACCCAGAGCGACTTACAGGCAGCACCAATTAGGGTTTCAACGGCCTTCTCCACCAGGCCCCACATTAACGGTCATTTAGCAGACGCTCTTAGCCAGAGCGACGCACAAATTGGTTGCGTTCACCCTATAGCAGTGGGATAACCACTTTACAATTTGGGGGGGGGGGGGGGGGGGGGGTTAGAAGGAACACTTTATCCGATCCCCAGGATAGGATAAAGTGTATCTGAGGTTTAGTGTTGTCCTGGTCCTCCGGTATGTCTCCTGGGTCCTGAGGTTTAGTGTTGTCCCTGGTTCCCTCCTTCATATGTCTCGTTCTCTGCGGTTTAGTGTTGTCCCTGGTACTCCCTGATATTGTCTCTGTGTCCTCTAAGGTTTAGTGTGTCCCTGGTCCTCCCTGATATTGTCTTGTGTATCTGAGGTTTAGTGTTTGTCCCTGGTCCTCCCGGATAGTTCTGTCGTATCTGATGTTTAGTGTTGTCCCTTGGGTCCTCCATGATATTGTCTCTGTGTCTCTGAGGTTAGGACTGTTCCCCGGTCCTCCCTGAATTGGTATCTGTTGTCTCTGAGTTTAGTGTTGCCCTGGTCCTCCTTGATATTGTCTCGGTGTAATCGGAGGTTTAGTGTGTTCCCCTGGTCCTCCCCTGAATTCCAGTACTGTGTGTCTTGAGGTTTAGTGTTGCTCCCTGGTCCTCCCTGACCCTACTTGACCCTCCCTGGCCGGTCTACCTGACCGACGTGACTCCGTGTTCGCTCCATGGCTACCTCCCTGAAATGTCTCTGGCTCTCGCCCCAAACCCCACAGACACGCCGTAGTGTCCCCTCGCTCCGGGTCCTCCCTCCGAATTGTCTCTGTGATCATCGAGGTTAGTGTTGTCCCCTGGTACATCCGGATATTGTCTTCTGTGCTCGAGGTTTAGTGTTTGTCCCTAGGGACTCCCTGATATTGTCTCTGTGTCTCTGAGGTTTAGGGTTGTCCCTGGGTCCTCCACTGATATTGTCTCTGTGTCTATGAGGTGTAGTGTTGTCCCTGGTTCCTCCCTGATATTGTCTCGTGTGTCTCTGAGGTTTATGTTGTCCCTGGTGCTCCCTGATATTGTCTCTGTGTCTCTGAGTTTAGTGTTGTCCATGGTCCTCACGAGCCAGTTGTCTCTGTGTCTATGAGGTTAGTGTTGTCAACTGCGTCTCACCTGAATGATCTCGTGTCTCTAAGGTTTAGTGTTGTCCCTGGTCCTCCTGATATTGTCTCTGTGTCTCTGAGGTTAGGTTGTCCCTGGTCCTCCCTGAAGTATTGTCTCTGTGTCTCTTGAGGTTTAGGGATGTCCCTCGTCATCCCTGATATTGTCTCTGGTCTCTGAGGTTTAGTGTTGTCCTGGTCTCCCTGATATTTGTCTCTGTCTCTGAGTTTTAGTGTTTGTTTTCCTGGTCCTCCCTGTATTGTCTCTGTGTCTCTGAGGTTAGTGTGTCCCTGGTCCTTCCCTGATATTGGCTCTGTGTCTCTGAGGTTTTTAGTGTTGCCTGGTCCTCCCTGATATTTACATTTACATTACATTTAGTTCATTTAGCAGACGCTCTGATCCAGAGCGACTTACAGAGCAATTAGGGTTAAGTGCCTTGATCAAGGGCAAATTAATCATTTAGCAGACCTCTTAGCCAGAGCGACTCACAAATGGTGAGTTCACCCTATAGCCCGTGGGATACCACTTTACAATTGGGGGGGGGGGGGGGGGGGGGGTTAGAAGAACACTCAGCTATCCACCCCAGTATAGGAAAGTGTCTCTGAGGCAGAGGTAGTGTTGTCCCTCACGGCACTCACTGATATTGTCTTGTCCGCACTCAGCAGGGCCCACAGCCAGAGCACTTGTCCCCCCTGGTCCTCACTTCCCAATTGTCTCTGTGTCTCTGGAGGTTTCAGAGAACAGAATCACACTGTCCCTGGTCACCTGATATTGTCTCTGTGGCTCTAAGTTTAGTGTTGTCCCTGGGTCCTCCCAACCACCCAACCGGATATTGACTTCTTGTGTCGTCTGATGGTTTTGTAGGTTGTGTGCCCTGGTTTCCTGTACCCTGATTTATTGTGCTCTGTGCTCTGAGGTTTAGTGTTGTCCCTGGTCCTCCGTTGATTTTGTTGTATCTGTGTATCTGAGGTTTAGTGTGTGTCACTGGTGGGCCTCCCTATATTGTGGTGTGGTTCTAGTTGATGGAGGTGTAGTGTTGTCCTGGTCCTCATCGGATTTGTTGTCTCTGTGTATCTGAGGTTTTAGTGTGGTCCCTGGTCCTCCCTGATATTGTCTGTGTCTCTGAGGTTTAGTGTTGTCCTGGTCCTCCTGATTATTGTCTTGTGTCTCTGAGGTTTAGTGTTTGTCATGGTCCTCCCTGATATTGTCTCTGGTCTCTGTGTTTAGTGTTGTCCTGGTCCTCCGTGATATTGTCTATGTGATCTGAGGTTTAGTGTTGTACATGTCCTCCCTGATATTGTCTGTGTGTCTCTGAGGTTTAGTGTTTGTTCCCTGGTCCTCCCTGCCTGATATTGCTCTCTGTGTCTATGAGGTTTAGTGTTGTCCCTGGTCCTCCCTGATATTGTCATGTATCTGAGGTTTGTGTGTCCCCGGTCCTCCATGTATTGTCTTCTGTGTCTTAGGTTTAGTGTTGTCACTGGTGGTCCTTGAATTGGTTCTGTGTCTCTGAGGTTTAGTGTTGTCCCTGTCCTCCCTTGATATTGTTCTGTGGTCTCTGAGGTTTAGTGTTGTCCCTGGTCACGCAACACTGACCTTTCTCTGTGTTCTCTGAGTTAGTGTTGTCCCTGGTCCTCCCTGATATTGTCTCGTGTCTCTGAGGTTAGGTTGGTGTCCTGTGCTCCATGATATGTCTCTGTTGTCTCTGAGTGTGTGTTGTTGTCAATGGTCCTCCTGATATTGTCTCTGTGCTCTGAGGTTTAGTGTTGCCCTGGTCCTCCCTGATATGTGTCTCTGGGATCTCTGAGGTGGTTTTAGTGTGTCCTGGTCCTACCTGATCATTGTATCTGTGTCTCTGAGGTTTAGGGGTCCCTGGTCAATCCCTGATATTGTCTTCTGTGTCTATGAGGTTTAGTGTTGTCCTGGTCCTCCCTGATTTGTTCTAGGTGTATCTAGAGGGTTTAGTGTTGTCCCTGGGCCTCCCTGATATTGATCTCTGTGTCTCTGAGTTTAGTGTTGTCCCTGAGTCCTCCGGATATGGTCTCGGTGTTCTTAGTTTAGTGTTGTCCATGCGGTTCTCCCTGATATTGTCTCTGTGTCCTCTGAGGTGTTAGTGTTGTCCATGGTCCTCCCTGATATTGTCTTCGGTGTCTATGAGGTTTAGTGTGTCCTTGGTCCTCCCTGATATTGTATTGTGTATCTGAGGTTTAGTGTGTCCCTGGGTCCTCCCTGATTCCCCTGTCTCTGTGTCTCTGAGGTTTAGGCCTTGACCCACCCTGGTCCTAAAGAACTATCTGTATGGTGTCTCTGAGGTTTAGTGTTGTCCCTGTCCTCCCTGATATTGTCTCTGGGTTTCTGAGGTTAGTGTTGTCTGGTGCTCCCTGAATTGTATGTGTGTCTCTGAGGTTTCGTGTTGGCCCTGGTCCTCCTGATATTGTCTCGGTCTCTGAGGTTTAGTGTTGTCCTGGTCTCCCTGAATATTGTCTCTGTGTCTCTGAGGTTTAGTGTGGTCCATGTCCTCCCTGAATTGTCTCTGGTCTTTGAGGTTTAGTGTTGTCCCTGGTCCTCCTGATATTGTCTCTGTGTCTCTGAGGGTTTAGTGTTGTCCATGGTCCTCCCTGATCTGATATTGTCTCTGGTGTGTCTCTGAGGTTTAGTGTTGTCCCTGGTCCTCCCTGATTGTCTCGTGTCTCTTCGAGTTTTAGTGTTGTCACTGGTTCCCTCCTGATATTGTCTGTGTGTCTGAGGTTTAGTGATTGTCCCTGGTCATCCCTGATATTTCTTGTGTTTCCTGAGGTTTAGTGTGGTCCCTGGTGCTCCATGATATTGCTCTGGGTGTCTCTGAGGTTTTTAGGAATGTGCCCGGGTCCTCCCTTGATATTGTCTCTGTTGTCTCTGAGGTTAGTGTGTTCCCTGGTCCTCCCTTATATTGCTCTGTCCTCTGAGGTTTAGTGTTGTCCCTTGGTCATCCCTGCGATTGTCTCTGTGTCTTATGCAGGTTTAGTGTTGTCCCTGGCCTCCCTGATATGTCTCTGTGTCTTCTGAGGTTTAGTGTTGTCCTGGTTCCTCCCTGATATTGTCTTCGGTCTCTTGAGGTTTTAGTGTTGTCCTCGTCCTCCCTGCCAATATTGTCCTGTGTCTCTGAGGGTAGTGTTGTGTCCTGGACTCCCTGATATTGTCTCCTGTGTCGCTGCGGTTTAGTGTTGTCCGGTCCTCCCCTGATATATGTCTCTGATGTCTCTGAGGTGGTTGTCCCTGGTCATCCCTGATATTTGTCTGATGTGTCTCTGCGGTTTAGTGTGTCCTGGTCCTCCCTGATAGTGTCTCTGGGTTTGACGGTTAGTGTTTGTCCCGGTGCTCCCTGATATGGTCTGGTGTCTCTGAGGTTAGTGTTGTCCCCTGGTCTCCCTGATTTGTCTCTGTGTCTCTGAGGGTTAGTGTTGTCTGGTCCCCCTTATATTGTCTCTGTCTCTGAGGTTTGTGTTTGTCCCTGGTCCTACCTGATATTGTCTCTGTGTCTCTGAGTTTAGTGTTGTCCCTTGGTCCTCCCTCGATATTGTTCTCTGTGTCTCTGAGGTTAGGTTGTCCCTGGTCCCTCCCTGATATTGTCTCTGTGCTCTGAGGTTTAGTGTTGTCCCTGTCAGCCCTGATTTGTCTCGGTGTCTCTGAGTTTAGTGTTGTCCCTGGTCCTCCTGATATTGTCTCTGTGTTCTGAGGTTTAGGACTGTCCCTGAGTCCTCCCTGATTGTATATGTGTACTCTGAGTTATGTTGCCCTGTCCTGCTGATATTGTCTCTGTGTATCTGAGGTTTTAGTGTTGTCCCTGGCCTCCCTGATATGTCTGTGTGTCTGCTGAGGTTAGGTGTTGTCCCTGTCCCTCCCCTGATATGTATATGTGTTTCTGACGTTTAGTGTTGTCCCTGGTCCTCCCCTGATATTGTCTCTGTGTCTTGAGGTTAGTGTTGTCCCTGGTCCTCCATGATATTGTCTCTGTGTCTCTGAGGTTTAGTGTAATGTCCCTAGTGCTCCCTGATATTGTCTCTTTGTCTCTGAGGTTTAGTGTGGCCCTTGGTCCCTCACTGATATGGTCTCTGGGTCTCTGAGGTTTAGTGTTTTCCTGGTCCCTCCCTGAATTGTCTCTGGTGCTTGAGGTTAGTGTTTCCCTGGTCCTCCCTGTATTGTCTCTGTGTCTTGAGGTTTTTTAGTGTTGTGCCCTGGTCCCTCCCTGATATGTCCGTGTCTCTGAGGTTAGTGTTGTCCTGGTCCTCCATGATATTGTTCTGGTGTCTTGAGGTTTAGTGTTGTCCCTGGTCCTCACGAATATTGTCTTCTGTGTTTCTGAGTTTCGTGTGTCCTGGTGGTTCTCCCCATGTATTGTTCTGTGTTTGGCTCGTGAGGTTTAGTGTTGTCCTGGCCTCCCTGATTTGTCTCTGTGTCATGAGGGTAGTGTTGTCCCTGTCCTCCCTTATATTGTCTCTGTATCTGAGGTTTAGTGTTGTCCTGGTTCCTCACTGATATTGTTCTCTGTGTCTCTGAGGTTTAGTGTTGTCCCTGGTCCTCCTGATATTGTCTCTGTGTCTCTGAGGTTTAGTGTTGTCATGGTCCTCCCTGATATTGTCTCTGTGTCTCTGGGTTTAGTGTTGTCCCTGGTACTCCTGATATTGTCTCGTGTCTCTGAGGTTAGTGTTGTCCCTGGTCCTCCCTGATATTGTCTCTGTTGGCTCTGAGGTTTTAGGACTGTTCCCTGGTCCTCCTGATATGGTTATGGGGCTCTGAGGTTAGTGTTGTCCCTGGTCCTCCTGATATTGTCTCTGTTTGATATTGAGGTTTTTAGGTTGTCCCTGGTCCTCCCTGATATTGTCTGATTGTGTTGTTCGAGGTTAGTGTTGTCCCTGGTCCCTCCCTGAATGTCTCGGGTCTCTGAGGTTTAGTGTTGTCCCTGGTCCTCCCTGTATTGTCTCTGTGTCTCTTGAGGTTAGGTTGTCCCTGGTCCTCCCTGATATTGTTTCTCTGTGTCTCCTGAGGTTAGTGTTGTCCTAGTGTCCCTGATATTGTCTCTTTGTCTCTGAGTTTTAGTGTTGTCCCTGAGTCCTCCCTGATATTGTCTCTGTGTCTCTGAGGTTTTAGTGTGTCCCTGGTCCTCCCTGATATTGTCTCTGTGTCTCTGAGGTTTAGTGTTGTCCCTGGTGCTCCCTGATATTGTCTCTGTGTCTCTGAGGTTTAGTGTTGTCCTGGTCCTCCCTGATATTGTCTCTGTGTCTCTGAGGTTTAGTGTTGTCCCTGGTCTCCCTGATATTGTCCTTGTGTCTCTAAGGTTTAGTGTTGTCCCTGGTCCTCCCTGATATTGTCTCTGTGTCTCTGAGGTTTAGTGTTGTCCCTGGTCCTCCCTGATATTGTCTCTGTGTCTCTGAGGTTTAGGACTGTCCCTGGTCCTCCCTGATATTGTCTCTGTGTCTCTGAGGTTTAGTGTTGTCCCTGGTCCTCCCTGATATTGTCTCTGTCTCTGAGGTTTAGTGTTGTCCCTGGTCTCCCTGATATTGTCTCTGTGTCTCTGAGGTTTAGTGTTGTCCCTGGTCCTCCCTGATATTGTCTCTGTGTCTCTGAGGTTTAGTGTTGTCCCTGGTCCTCCCTGATATTGTCTCTGTGTCTCTGAGGTTTAGTGTTGTCCCTGGTCCTCCCTGATATTTCATTACTTCATATTTAGTCATTAGCAGACCTCTATCAGAGCGCTCTGAGAATTAGGGTTAAGTGCCCTGCCAAGGGACATTAACTCATTTAGCACGCTCTTAGCCAGAGCGACCTCACAATTGTTGCGTCACCCTATGCATTGGGCTAACCACTTTACCTTGTTGGGGGGGGGGCGGGTTAGAGCACTTTCCTATCCACAGGATATTGGAAAAGTGTCTCTGAGTTTAGTGTTGTCCCTGGTCCTCCCTGATGTCCTTGTCTCTGAGGTTTAGGTTGTGGTCTTTCTATGTCTCGTGTATCTGAGGTTTAGTGTTGGGCCCCTGGTCCTCCCTGATATTGTCTCTGGTTCTGCTGATGGTTTTAGTGTTGTCCCTGGTCCTCCCTTGTATTGTCTCTGTGTCTCTGAGGTTAGTTTGTCCTGGGTCCTCCCTGATATTGTTCTGTGTCTCTGAGGGTTTAGTGTTTGTCCCTGGTCCTCCTTGTATTGTCTCTGTGTATCTGAGGTTTAGTGTTGTTCCTGGTCCTCCCTGATATTGTCTGTTGTCTCTGAGGTTTAGTGTTGTCCTGGTACTCCCTGAATTGCTCTGTGTCTCTGAGGTTTAGTGTTTGCCCTGGTCCTCCCTGATATTGTCTCTGTGTTCCTGAGTTAGTGTTGTCCCTGGTCCTCCATGATATGTCTCTGTGTCTCTGAGGTTTAGTGTCCCTGGTCGACTCCTGATATGTCTCTGGTCTCTGAGGTTTAGTGTTGTCCCTGGTCCTCCATGTGATTATTGGTCTCGCTCTGTGGCTCTGAGGTTTAGTATTGCCCTGGTCCTCCCTGATATTGTCTCTTTGTCTCTGGGTTAGTGTTGTCCCTGGTCCTTCCCTGATATTGTCTCTGGTCTCTGAGGTTGTGTTGCCCTGGTCCTCCCTGATTATTGTCTCTGGTCTCTGAGTTTAGTGTTTTTGTCCTGCGTCCTCCATGATATTGTAATCTGTGTCTCTGAGGTTTAGTGTGTGTCCCTGGTCCTCCATGATATTGTCTCTGTGTCTCTAGGTTTAGTGTTGTCCTGGTCCTCCCTGCTATTGTCTCTGTGTCTCTGCGGTTAGTGTTGTCCCTGGTCCTCCTTAGATATTGTTCTCTGTGTCTCTGAAGGTTTAGTGTTGTCCCTGGTCCTCCCTGATATTGTCTCTGTTTCTCTGAGGTTTAGTGTATAGCCTGGGGGGGGTCGGTGCAAGATGTGCTGCTTCCATGTCAAGTTTTGTTCCTGCTGATATATCTGTTGGCCTGCCCAGGCAGGATGGCTCAGGTTCCCCTGTAAATACACACAGGCTGAGAGAGGGAGGATGGAGGGAGGGAGGAACTCAGGTCACTATCGTAGCCCTCACTACCCTGTAGGGGGGAGCAAGGATGAGGGAAAAGGATTTACTCTCTCTTCTTGTCCCCCTATAAATATTCACCAGCATAGCCCTCGCTACCCTGTAGTAGGAGGGAGGAAGGATGAGGAGGAGGAGAGGATGAGGAGGAAGGGAGGAGGAGGAGGAGGAGGAGGAGGAGGAGGAGGGGAGGATGAGGAGGAGGGGAAGAGGAGGAGGAGGTTTCTTCATGGGAGTTGTGTGTGTTATCACGTTCTAAGTAAATGTTTGAACTATTTCCTGTCTCTCCAATCTCATCGTTATTGAATTGTTATACAGACGTGGTCATGAAAAATGGCAGGTACAGTTAGAAACATTGGACAGTTTGATGAAAGTATTGAGCAGTGGAGCTGTGGTGAGTGTGATAGAAGGAGTCAGGAGCAGGAGGGTACATCACTGAATACAGAGTTTATTCCTTTCCGTCACAGTTGCGCTGGATAGCGACACACAAACACAGGCACAGGGGAAACTCTCTACCCTAGCAATCACAGTACGGAAATACTTCAAACGATATACAAGCATAGGGGAAAATAAATCTACCCCCGGCAATACAATAAGAGAGTAGCTCAACCGAGCTACTCTACTCTCACATGGAACAATCACCCACACAGACAAGGGAGCAGAGGGAACACTTATACACAGACTAACGAGGGGATGAGAACCAGGTGTGTGTGATTAACAAGACAAGACAAGTGGAGTGATGATAATGGGAGCGGCAGTAGTTAGTAAGCCGGTGACGACGAACGCCGAAGCCTGCCCGAACAAGGAGGGGAGGCAGTCTCGGTGGAAGTCGTGACAGTAACTTACCCGCTGGGAGCTGCCTTACTCTGGGCACGCACCGAGCAGGAGGAGACATACACCCTCACGTCCTTAGCCAAGGTAGGCCACCAGTATTTTCCGGTCAGGCAGCGCACTGTACGACTGATACCTGGGTGACCAGAGGATGGTGACGTGTGTGCCCAGTAGATCAGACGATCACGGATAAGAGCAGGCACGTACTGCAGCCCAGCTGGACACTGAGGTGGAGATGGATCTGTGCGTAATGCCTGCTCTATATCAGCGTCCATCGCCCATACTACCGGCGCCACAATGCAGGAGGCCGGGAGTATGGGGGTGTTGTCTCTGGGCCTCTCCTCTGTGTCATACAGCCGGAGCAGTGCGTCTGCCTTCACGTTCTTCGTACCTGGAATGTATGATAGAGTGAAATCAAACCGGGTGAAGAATAGGGCCCACCTGTCCTGGCGAGGATTCAGCCTCCTGCTGCCCAGATGTACTCCAGATTACGGTGGTCCGTCCAGACAAGGAAAGGGTGTTTCGCCCCTTCGAGCAAATGCCTCCACACGGTCAAAGCTCGGACAACAGCCAACAGCTCCCGATCACCAACGCCGTAGTTCTGCTCCGCCGGGCTGAGCTTCTTAGAGAAGAAGGAACAGGGGCGGAGTTTGGTTGGCATGCCCGAGCGTTGAGACAGGACAGCGCCCATCCCTACCTCGGACGTATCCACCTCCACTACGAATGGTAGTGATGGATCCGGGTGGGCCAGTACCGGGGCCGAGGTGAACAGTTCCCTCAGGTTACTGAAGGCCCTGTCAGCCTCAGCAGACCAGTGGAGCAGGGACGGCCCACCCTTCAACAGAGATGTAATGGGAGCTGTGACCTTGCCAAAGCCCCGGATAAACCTCCGATAGTAGTTGGCGAAGCCAAGGAAGCGCTGCACCTCCTTTACCGTGGTTGGAGTCGGCCAATTACGCACGGCTGAAATGCGGTCACTCTTCATCTCCACACCTGAGGTGGTAATGCCATATCCGAGGAAGGAGACGGACTGCTGGAAAAACATAAACTTTTCTGCCTTGGCATAAAGGTCATTTTCCAACAGTCGGACCAGTACTTTGCGAACCAGGGATACATGCTCGGCGCACGTAGCGGAATACACCGGGATGTCATCGATGTAGACCACAACACCGCGACCAAGCATGTCCCGAAACACCTTGTTCACAAAGGACTGGAAGACGGATGATGCATTCATCAAACCGTAGAGCATCACTAGGTATTCATAATGCCCCGAGGTTGTGCTGAATGCTGTCTTCCACTCATCCCCCTCCTGAACACGCACCAGGTTGTAGGCCCTCCTGAGATCTAATTTGGTGAAGAAGCGCGCCCCATGCATTGACTTAATCACTGATGGAATGAGGGGGAGAGGATAACTAAATATTATCGTCTCCTTGTTCAGTGATCGATAATCAATGCACGGGCGCAGACTGTCGTCTTTCTTCTTCACAAAGAAGAAACTCGAGGAGGCGGGTGAAATGGAGGGACGTATATACCCCTGGCCCAGGGACTCGGAGACGTATGTTTCCATCGCCTCCGTTTCAGCCTGCGACAGGGGATACACATGACTCCTGGGAGGCACAGCGTCTATCCGAAGGTTTATCGCGCAATCCCCCGCCCGATGAGGTGGTAATTTAGTCGCCTGCGTCTTTGAAAACGCGAGCGCCAGATCATGGTATTCGGGGGGGGAATGCGCACGGTGGAGGTAGTGTCTGGACTTTCCACCATGGTTGCACCAACGGAAACACATAGACACCTACCCTGACACTCTCGCGACCACCCCGTGAGAGCCCTCTGCGGCCATGAGAAAGTGGGGTTGTGAAGGGCTAGCCACGGGATACCTAATACTACAGGGTGAGCAGGAGACTCAATAATCGAAAAAGTGATCTGCTCCCAATGAGTCTCCTGGGTGATCATGGTGACTGGTACATTAACCTCCTTTGCCAACCCGGACCCTAATGGTCGACTATCACGTGCTCTAATGGGGAGTGGAATGGATAGGGGAACCAATGAAATGCCTTGACGGTGTGAGAATGCCCTGTCCATAAAGTTCCCAGCTGCGCCGGACATCCTCCCGCAGATGGCACCGGAAATGGTCAATCAGGGCCCGCTCGTTCCACCCGGACCCCGCTGCCAGAGTTCGAAACTCCAGGGTGAAGTCCTGCGCGGTCCTCGTCCCCTGCCTCAGGTGGACCAGCCGCTCACCCGCCTCTCGACCCTCGGGTGGGTGATCGAAGACCACCCGAAATAGGCAAGTGAACTCCCTGTAGTTCTCCAACGCGGTGTGGAACGAAGGAGGAGCCGCGTTGGAGAACTACAGGGAGTTCACTTGCCCATTCCAGGGCGTTCCCCGTGAGGCAGGAAACGAGGACGGACACCTTCTCTCGTTCCGATGGGGCCGGTCGGATGGTGGAGAAGTGGAGCTCCAGTTGAAGGATAAATCCATGGCAGAGCGCCGCCGTCCCATCGAAGTCCTGTGGTCGGGATATCTGGAACCCTCCGGGTGTTGGGGTGTAGGTGGCTGGATCCGATTAACCAACTGGTCTCGACGGATCAGGTCCTCTCCGAGCTACTTTACTCTCACAAGGAACACATATACACAGACTAATGAGGGGATGAGAACCAGGTGTGTGTGATTAACAAGACAAGACAAGTGGAGTGATGATAATGGGAGCGGCAGTGGTTAGTAAGCCGGTGACGACTAACGCCGAAGCCTGCCCGAACAAGGAGGGGAGGCAGCCTCGGTGGAAGTCGTGACAGGAGCTCGCATATAAAACGGTGTGAATATATTGTTCTTGCAAATGACATTGATTAGGACAAAATAGTGCTTACATTTCTTTGTGTAATTGGGCCAAAGACAATTAATTGACTATGCAGTCTACTACCGCCAGGCAGGCCAGGTAATAAGACATATTGGGATATTGTGGAAATACTGAAAGGACTCTTTACACCAAACCCACTAGTTATTGCTGAAAAGTTTACTGTAGGTTCCACAGAAGAAGTCGGGAATAGGGAGAATCACTGAAAATGCTTGCTGCTGCATTCAATAAACTATCAGAGTACGGTGACTTTAATGATGTTATAAACGACACCATGAGAGACAGATTAGTACGTGGTTCTACGGAGTGAAGCTACATAAAAGAGACTTTTGACTGAAAGTAATCTGACCTTGGCAAGGGGCCATTGAAGTCAGTGTTTCCATGGAACTAGCTGCTAAAGAGGCTCAGCAGTTGGATTCATCAGGAAAAGTGCACAGAATTGCAACTGAAAATCAGAGACAGTGAAATCAAGGCACATGCTTCCGGGACATCAGACGTCTACATGCTGGTGTAAGGACATGGATTTCCCAACCTGTGGTAAAAAGGGACACATCGAACGAGCCTGCAGAAACAGAAAGAGCTCAGAGAAATCGTCAAAGACTGAAAACAAGGAAGAGACATTTCAACGAAGGAAAAATAGATGTTCAAACTGTTTAGCAGGAGAACACTGAGGTGAGTGACTCATCAGACCAGGAAGTCACACTGTTTAGCAGGAGAACACTGAGGTGAGTGACTCATCAGACCAGGAAGTCACACTATTTAGCAGGAGAACACTGAGGTGAGTGACTCAACAGACCAGGAAGTCACACTGTTTAGCAGGAGAACACTGAGGTGAGTGACTCATCAGACCAGGAAGTCACACTGTTTAGCAGGAGAACACTGAGGTGAGTGACTCATCAGACCAGGAAGTCACACTGTTTAGCAGGAGAACACTGAGGTGAGTGACTCAACAGACCAGGAAGTCATACGGTTTAGCAGGAGAACACTGAGGTGAGTGACTCAACAGACCAGGAAGTCACACTGATTAGCAGGAGAACACTGAGGTGAGTGACTCAACAGACCAGGAAGTCACACTGTTTAGCAGGAGAACACTGAGGTGAGTGACTCATCAGACCAGGAAGTCACACTGTTTAGCAGGAGAACACTGAGGTGAGTGACTCAACAGACCAGGAAGTCACACTGTTTAGCAGGAGAACACTGAGGTGAGTGACTCATCAGACCAGGAAGTCACACTGTTTAGCAGGAGAACACTGAGGTGAGTGACTCAACAGACCAGGAAGTCACACTGTTTAGCAGGAGAACACTGAGGTGAGTGACTCATCAGACCAGGAAGTCATACGGTTTAGCAGGAGAACACTGAGGTGAGTGACTCATACAGACCAGGAAGTCACACTGTTTAGCAGGAGAACACTGAGGTGAGTGACTCATCAGACCAGGAAGTCACACTGTTTAGCAGGAGAACACTGAGGTGAGTGACTCAACAGACCAGGAAGTCACACTGTTTAGCAGGAGAACACTGAGGTGAGTGACTCATCAGACCAGGAAGTCACACTGTTTAGCAGGAGAACACTGAGGTGAGTGACTCATCAGACCAGGAAGTCACACTGTTTAGCAGGAGAACACTGAGGTGAGTGACTCAACAGACCAGGAAGTCACACTGTTTAGCAGGAGAACACTGAGGTGAGTGACTCATCAGACCAGGAAGTCATACGGTTTAGCAGGAGAACACTGAGGTGAGTGACTCAACAGACCAGGAAGTCACACTGTTTAGCAGGAGAACACTGAGGTGAGTGACTCATCAGATCAGGAAGTCACACTGTTTAGCAGGAGAACACTGAGGTGAGTGACTCATCAGACCAGGAAGTCACACTGTTTAGCAGGAGAACACTGAGGTGAGTGACTCAACAGATCAGGAAGTCACACTGTTTAGCAGGAGAACACTGAGGTGAGTGACTCATCAGACCAGGAAGTCACACTGTTTAGCAGGAGAACACTGAGGTGAGTGACTCAACAGACCAGGAAGTCACACTGTTGAGGAGGAGAACACTGAGGTGAGTGACTCAACAGACCAGGAAGTCACACTGTTTAGCAGGAGAACACTGAGGTGAGTGACTCAACAGACCAGGAAGTCACACTGTTTAGCAGGAGAACACTGAGGTGAGTGACTCAACAGACCAGGAAGTCACACTGTTTAGCAGGAGAACACTGAGGTGAGTGACTCATCAGATCAGGAAGTCACACTGTTTAGCAGGAGAACACTGAGGTGAGTGACTCAACAGACCAGGAAGTCACACTGTTGAGGAGGAGAACACTGAGGTGAGTGACTCAACAGACCAGGAAGTCACACTGTTTAGCAGGAGAACACTGAGGTGAGTGACTCAACAGACCAGGAAGTCACACTGTTTAGCAGGAGAACACTGAGGTGAGTGACTCATCAGACCAGGAAGTCACACTGTTTAGCAGGAGAACACTGAGGTGAGTGACTCATCAGACCAGGAAGTCACACTGTTTAGCAGGAGAACACTGAGGTGAGTGACTCATCAGACCAGGAAGTCACACTGTTTAGCAGGAGAACACTGAGGTGAGTGACTCATCAGATCAGGAAGTCACACTGTTTAGCAGGAGAACACTGAGGTGAGTGACTCATCAGACCAGGAAGTCACACTGTTTAGCAGGAGAACACTGAGGTGAGTGACTCAACAGACCAGGAAGTCACACTGTTTAGCAGGAGAACACTGAGGTGAGTGACTCATCAGACCAGGAAGTCACACTGTTTAGCAGGAGAACACTGAGGTGAGTGACTCAACAGACCAGGAAGTCACACTGTTGAGGAGGAGAACACTGAGGTGAGTGACTCAACAGACCAGGAAGTCACACTGTTTAGCAGGAGAACACTGAGGTGAGTGACTCATCAGACCAGGAAGTCACACTGTTGAGCAGGAGAACACTGAGGTGAGTGACTCGTCAGACCAGGAAGTCACACTGTTGAGCAGGAGAACACTGAGGTGAGTGACTCATCAGACCAGGAAGTCAAACTGTTGAGCAGGAGAACACTGAGGTGAGTGACTCATCAGACCAGGAAGTCAAACTGTTGAGCAGGAGAGCACTGAGGTGAGTGACTCATCAGACCAGGAAGTCAAACTGTTGAGCAGGAGAGCACTGAGGTGAGTGACTCAGCAGACCAGGAAGTCAAACTGTTGAGCAGGAGAGCACTGAGGTGAGTGACTCATCAGACCAGGAAGTCACACAGAATATACTGACTGTTTCTGGGGGCCCGCACGGCTATTATGTCTCTACGTTGCTAGAGGGTCACCGGTGCATATGGAGAGACGTGGAGAAGTCTTTCATGGAGAGCTGGGTAGCATGAAATACATTACAGTGAAGCTTAGCATTAAGCCAGACAGCAAACCAACGTTTCTAAAAGCACAACCCGTACCTTATGCTATCAGACCAAAAGTCGAGGCTGACTTGGTGAGTCCAGTCAAAAACAAAGTGCCGGAGCCGGTCAGCATGAATGAATGGGCTACACCCATCGTACCAGTCCTTAATAAGGATGGTGAAATCAGGATATGTGGAGACTTTAAAGTTAACCCTGTGTTGTCCGCTGAGGAGTATTCACTACCACACATCAACAACCTTTTCGCAGGTTTAGCTGGGAGTCAAAAGTTCAGCAAAATAGACCTCTGCCAAGCCTACTTGCAGATACACATGGATGAAATGTCAAAGGAGCTGCTGACCATTGTAACACACAAGGGGCTCTTCAGGTACTTAGTGGTTAAGAGCGTTGTGCCAGTAACCGAAAGGTCGCTGGTTCTAATCCCAGAGCCAACTAGGTGAAAAATCTGTCGATTTGCCCTTGAGCAAGGCACTTAACCCTAATTGCTCCTGTAAGTCGCTCTGGATAAGAGCGTCTGCTAAATTACTAAAATGTAAAATGCCTACCGTTTGGAATCACAAGTGCGCCAGTGCTGTTCCAGAGGGCGATGGACTAGATCTTGGCAACTGTCACTAACAACAGTGACTGACCCAAAATGAAGGAAAGCTTTGACTACGTACAGACTCAGTGAGCATAGCCTTGCTATTGAGAGAGACCTCCTTAGGCAGACAGGCTATTTCCCTCAGATTATAACAGATCCACAAATAATTTTTCCTTTTTGTACTTAAACTATTTGCACATCGTTACAACACTGTATATAGCCATAATATGACATTTGAAATGTCTCTATTCTTATGGAACTCTTGTGAGCGTAATGTTTACTGTTCACTTTATATTTCACTGTTGTTTATTATCTATTTCACTTGCTTTGGCAATGTTAACATATGTTTCCCATGTCAATAAAGCCCTTTGAATTGAGAGAGAGAGAGAGAGAGAGAGAGAGAGAGAGAGAGAGAGAGAGAGAGAGAGAGAGAGAATATACTTACATTCACACAGGACACCAGATAAAACAGGAGAATTACACAGGACAGACTGACCCTAGCCCCCCGGCACATAGACTATTGCAGCATAGATGCGGGAGACAGAGACATGGGGGGGTCGGGGGACACTTTGGGACAAGGTTGAGTACAGCCCACAGAGACAGGGGGGGGGGTCGGGGGACACTTTGGGACAAGGCTGAGCCCACGAATGTCTACCCCACCTCATGAGCCCGAGGGGGTGAAAAATTGGGCACAGCGCAACCTCTGTATTTATAGCTACCATTCGGAAGAGCGTGTAGAAGAGCCTGGCTGATTAAATTTTTTGTGGCTGGCAGTTGGCAGGGACCGATTTGTCGCGGATATTGCAACCTCTCCTATATACAGTAAGTGGCGGGTTCTTAAATACAGCTGGCAAAGCTGGGTCCGATGATACATTTACATTTTAGTCATTTAGCAGACACTCTTATCCAGAGCGACTTACAGTTAGTGAATATATAAAACAATTTATACTAGCCCCCCGTGGGAATCGAACCCACAACCCTGGCGTTGCAAACGCCATGCTCTGTCAACTGAGCTACATCCCTGCCGGCCATTCCCTCCCCTACCCTGGGCCAATTGGTCACCATAGCAGCACCCACCCGTAGTCTGCGCTCCAGCAGGTATATCTCACTGGTCATTCCCAAAGCCAACACCTCCTTTGGCCGCCATTCCTTCCAGTTCTCTGCTGCCAATGACTGGAACTAATTGCAAAAATCACTGAAGCTGGAGACTCTTATCTCCCTCAATAACTTTAAGTATCAGTTGTCAGAGCACCTTACCGATCACTGCACCTGTACACAGCCCATCTGAAATTAGCCCACCCAACTACCTCATCCCTATATTGTTATTTATTTTGCTCTTTTGCACCCCAGTATCTCTATTTGCACATAATCTCTTGCACATCTAGCATTCCAGTGTTAATACTATTGTAATTATTCTGCACTATAGCCTATTTATTGCCTTACCTCCATAACTTGCTACATTTGCACACACTTTATATATATTTTCTGTTGTATTTCTGACTTTATGTTTTTTACCCCATATGTAACTCTGTGTTGTTTTTATTGCACTACTTTGCTTTATCTTGGCCAGGTCGCAGTTGTAAATGAGAACCTGTTCTCAACTGGCTTACCTGGTTAAATAAAGGTGAAATAAAAAAAAAATAATTGCACCGCCCGTGAATCTCCCGGTCGCGGCCGGCTGCGACAAAGCCTGGTTTTGAACCAGGATCTCTAGTGGCACAGTTAGCACTGCGATGCAGTGCCTTAGACCACTGCACCACTCAGGAGTCATGCCAGTGTTTTCTTGACAGCATCTCCCACTTTATGCAAGTTCAAAGTATATGTGGTGGTGATCTTTAGCTCCAGTGGGACTTTTTTGTAGCAGTTTTCCCTAATGCCAAAATCAAAAGCTTCATCCACACATTGTGGAGAGTAGCCTCTTCTTAGAAACATATTGCGCATCTCCGCTGCTTTTTCTAGATAGTCCTCTGTGGAGTGGCATACACGGCGCAATCTGAAAAACTGTTATTCTTGGAAGTCCTCTTTTTAATGGTTCAGGGTGGATGCTGTCCCCTTGTAATATAGTATTTCTGTCCATTTCTTTTCTGTACAAAGTTGTAAACAGGGTTCCGTTTGATTTCACAATCCACATATCGAGGTAATAAACACATTCAATAGTGAATTTGAGATTGCGGTCAATGTCATTGAGTGATGCCATAAAGTCTGACAGCTCGTCTCCTGTTACTCCCCATAATGCAACAAATGTTGTCAATATATCGATACCACTTCAGGATTTTATTCAAAAATATATTTTCAATTTCATTGTTAACTAAACTTTCTTCAAAATAACCCACATAAAGGTTAGCATAGCTTGGAGCGAATGTGGAGCCCATCGATGTTCCATTCGTTCGGAGGTTGTATTCATCATCAAACCTGAAATAGTTATACTTCAAAACATATTTATCTCTAGAATGAAGTTTGTTCGTGGGTATTTGTTAGTATCTCGGTCTCTCAAATAGTGAGCTTCCAGCCCCCTATATGGGGAATGCTGGTATATAGACTCTCGATATCTAATGTGACCAAATTACAGTCTTCTGTTAATCCCGTTGTAATATTCATATGGGTCAGCACACTGAATTGTAATTGGATGCATTCTACTGTCAGATCATACTGTGCTATGATTGGTTACGACCACCCAGGTGGTGAGGTCATCATCAGGTGATCATGGCTGGAGACACATGAACGTGCCAGTTATAGCTAGCGAATAAAGATCAATGATTAGAAAGATCCTGTCGTCCTGCATTTTATTATTTTGTACAAAGCATACAAAACAAGACAGCCGTTGTCGGTGAGATCTTATTTATGAAGTCTACAGAGTTTCTTTCACATATGATGGCAATGCTTGCACATCAAATTTAATAAAAGAGTCTACAAAAGTTTGACAACAGCTCTAGCCTATTCCTGCAACTACTGGTCTGCCTGGATAATTGCCTTGTTGTGTTTTAGGTTTGTCTAATTTAGGCAACATGTACAGGCATGGAAGCATGGCACATATGCAGCAAAGGTATTCATATTCAGGTTTTGAGATGAGGTTGTTTAATACGGTTTGCTCCAGATTAGAGCTAATTTCCCGTTGGAACACCTGTGCGGGATCAATGCTCAGTTTTCTATAGAAACGTTGATTACTGAGTTGTCTCAGAATATCTTCGTTGTATTTTTCATAGTCCTGGTGATGTTCTTCTGAATATGGTTTGTTTTTCTCCTATATACAGACATTTTTGTTCGACTAACCTACAATTGTTATTAATCGAGGAGTTGTTAACCATAGGACAGAATTTGCTTTTGGGCTTAAAATGGGTAACATTGGGCCTTTCCTAGGCCTGGCAGAGAGAGGACTGTGGGGGAGGAGACAGACAACATGGGGCCTTTCCTATGCTTGGCAGAGAGAGGACTGTGGGGGAGGAGACAGACAACATGGGGCCTTTCCTAGGCTTGGCAGAGAGAGGACTGTGGGGGAGGAGACAGACAACATGGGGCCTTTCCTAGGCTTGGCAGAGAGAGGACTGTGGGGGAGGAGACAGACAACATGGGGCCTTTCCTATGCTTGGCAGAGAGAGGACTGTGGGGGAGGAGACAGACAACATGGGGCCTTTCCTATGCTTGGCAGAGAGAGAAGCAGGGGTTTGGTTGGTGCTGTGTTGCACAGTACCGTTTCAGAGATATTCAAGGGTTATCACTGAAGTTCAGCGTTACAGCGTGATTAAAATTTAAAGGCAATGTTCCCGCGTTAGCGATGCTGCATTCACGGTAAACGCTGCATATATCGGCTCAATTGGAAATAACCTTTACATTTCTATTGAGCAATCTGTAACACTTCAGCGATCCAGATTGAATAGAGACCTACATTTAGATCGCGTTATCTGTAACGCTTAAAACGTTAGAGATACAGATTGAATTGAGACCCTAGTCTTTTCTTCTTTTGTTCTTAGTCAATTTTTTTCACCAAAAAAAACTAAACAATGGATCAATTCCTACCTTTAAAAGCTGTGAGAGGCTGATGGAAAGAAACACCACACCACAATGTTTAGGAACGAACAAACATATTGTCACACCCTGGCTCTGGGACTCTATATGTTGAGCCAGGGTGTGTTCATTCTATGTGTTCTGTTTCTATGTTGGGTGTTTCTAGTTCGTCATTTTCTATGTTTGACTGAGTGACTCCCAATCAGAGGCAACGAGTGTCAGCTGTGTGCTGGTTGTCTCTGATTGGGAGCCATATTTAACTGTCTGTGTTTCACTTTGTGTTTGTGGGTTTTTGTTCCGTGTTCGGTCATTGTCACCGTGGACTTCACGAGTCGTGTTTTGTTTTGTTTAGAAACTTTAACTAATTAAAGTCATGTTTGTTTCTCACGCTGCGCCTTGGTCTACTCATTACTACGACGATCGTGACAGAAAAACCCACCATACCAGGACCAAGCAGCGTGTCCAGGAGCAGGCAGCCTGGTCATGGGAGGAGATATTAGACGGGAAAGGGTCCTGGACCTGGGAGGAGATCCTGGCCGGGATGGATCGCCGGCCATGGATTGAGACGGTGGAGAGGCGACGGAGAGAGGAGCAGCGGCGTCAGCAGGGTCAACGTCGGACAGGCGAGAGGCAACCCCAAAACATTTTAAGGGGGGGGCACACGGCAGGGGCGACGAGGGAGCAGGAGGTAGTGTTGCAGAGGATGGAGCATTTGGAGGCGATAAGGGAAAGGGTGAGAAAGGAGGCACGGCGAGAGGAACTCGGTAGGCAGCTGAGGGAGCGGGGGGTTATGACGAAACCCAGTCCCGCTCCTCACACCAAGCAAGTGGTGTGCGTCACCAGTCCGGTCCGGCCCGTTCCTGTTTCCCGCACTAAGTGTAAGGTGCACGCCGCCAGCCCAGCCCGGCATGTTCCTGCCCCTCACACCAAGCCTACGGTGCGAGTCGTCAGCCTGGTCCAACCCGTTCCTGCTCCACGCACCAAGCCTACGGTGTGCGTTGCCAGCCCAGCCCGGCCTGTCCCTGCTCCACGCACCAAGCCTACGGTGTGCGTCGCCAGCCCAGTCCGGCCAGTTGCTGCTCCACGCACCAAGCCTACGGTGTGCGTCGCCAGCCCAGCCCGGCCTGTCCCTGCTCCACGCACCAAGCCTACGGTGTGCGTCGCCAGCCCAGTCCGGCCAGTTGCTGCTCCACGCACCAAGCCTACGGTGTGCGTCGCCAGCCCAGCCCGGCCTGTTCCTGCTCCACGTACCAGGCCTACGGTGTGCGTCGCCAGCCCAGCCCGGCCTGTCCCTGCTCCACGCACCAAGCCTACGGGGTGCGTCGCCAGCCCGGCCCGGCCTTTCCCTGCTCCACGCACCAAGTCTACGGTGCGCGTCGCCAGCCCGGCCCGGCCCGTTCCTGCCACTCGCACCAAGCCAGGGGTGCGAGTCATCAGTCCGGCACAACCCGTGCCTGGGTCATCGGTGCCAATTCAGGTACCGCTCAACTGCTCCACTAAGGAGCTGAAGCCTACCGCTCCTGCTACGTCCAGTCCAGCTCCAGCCAGCGGGGCCAGACCGGACCAGGGGCGCTATGGGGGGTTTGTTGGAGGGTGGTGGGCAAGCCCGGAGCCGGAGCCGCCGCCGAGGAGGAATGCCCACCCAGCCCACCCCTGTTTTGCTCGTATTTAGGCGCGGTCGCAGTCCGCGCCTTTAGGGGGGGGTACTGTCACACCCTGGCTCTGGGACTCTATATGTTGAGCCAGGGTGTGTTCATTCTATGTGTTCTGTTTCTATGTTGGGTGTTTCTAGTTCGTCATTTTCTATGTTTGACTGAGTGACTCCCAATCAGAGGCAACGAGTGTCAGCTGTGTGCTGGTTGTCTCTGATCAGCTGATAACTAGCCTCCCATTCTGACCAGCTGATAACTAGTCTCCCATTCTGACTAGCAGATAACTAGCCTCCCATCTGAACCAGCTCGATAAACTGGCCCTCCCATTCTGACCAGCTGATAAACTGGCATTCCATTTCTGGACCAGCTGATAACTAGCCTCCCATTCTGACCAGCTGATAACTGGCCTCCCATTCTGACTAGTGATATACTAGCTCTCCAATTCTGACCAAGCTGATAAACTGGACATCCCATTCTGACAAGCTGATAAACTTGGCCTCCAATTCTGACCAAGACTGATAACTTGGCCTCTCAGTTCTGACCCAGCCGATAACTGTGCTCCCATTCTGACCAGCTGATAACTGCCTCCCATTCTGACCAGCTGATAACTAGTCTCCCATTCTGACTACGAAAAAACCATTCTCCCATTCTGACCAGTGTAACTAGCCCCCCGTTTTTGACTGTGTAACTGGCCTCCCTTCTGACCGCTGAAAACTGCCCCCCTTTTGGACCAGCTTTAACGGGGATCCCTTTTCTGACTATCTAAAAAAATGGCGTCCATTTTGCCCAGTTTGATAACGGGGCCCCCCCTTCGACCGGTAAAAAATTTGGGCCTCCCTTTCTAAACTAGCTGAAAAATTGGCCCCCCCCTTTTCTGACCAGCTGATAACTGCCTCCCTTTCTGACCAGCTGAAAATGCCCCCCCCTTTTGGGCCCAAGCTGAAAAACTGCCTCCCTTGGCCCAAGCTGAAAAACCCCCTCCCATTCTGCCCCAGTGAAACTCCCCCCATTCTGCCCAGCTGAAAAACTAGCCCCCCGTTCTGCCCAGTGATAACGGGGCCCCCATTCTGACCAGCTGAAAAAACTGGCCTCCCATTCTGACCAGTGAAAAACTGCCCCCCCATTTTTTTGGGAACCAGCTGAAAAATGGCCCCCCTTTTGACCAGTGATAACTAGCCTCCCATTTGCCCAGTGAAAAATTTAGCCTCCCATTCGGCCAGCGAAAAACTGGTCTCCCTTTCGGACCAGTGATAATCCCTTTCCCTTTCTGACCAGCTGATAACTGCCCCCCCCATCTGCCCAGCTGACAAAGGCCCCCCCCTTCTGACCAGCTAAATTAATGCCCCATTCGGGACCAGTGATAACTGGCCCCCAAATTCGGACAGTGATAACTGCCTCCAATTCTGACCAGCTGAAAACCTGGTTTTCCCTTTTTAACCCAAAGTGATAAAAGCCCCTTTCTCCCCAAGCTGAAAAATACCCTCCCTTTTCTGCCCAGCTGTAACTAGTTTCCCATTTGCCAGTGATAAAATTGGCACCCCATTCTGACCAGCTGAAAAACTACCCTCCCATTTGCCCAAAGTGATAACGGCCTCCCTTCTGATAGCTGAAAAAATAGCCTCCCTTTTGACCAGTTGAAAAATGGCATCCCATTCTGACCAGTGTTTAACTTCCCTCCCTTTCTGAGAAAGTGAAAAGGGGGCCCTCTCATTTGCCCAGCGATAAAATGTGCCCCCATTCTGCCCAGCTGATAACTCC